ACAGTGGAAGCCCAGGGGAAACCCAGGCCACTCTTGCTCTCCAAAACCTCAGGCAATATATTGAACCTCAGCCTATCCTTTCTGACCATCCTCTCCAGCGGGCAGTGACATCTCCAGTCTGTTTGAGGAAGCCACCAAGAGCATCTCAGTCCCCCATGTTGAAGGTGCCAGTCTGCCATTTTTGGTCAGGAGTAGGTTGCAGGGAAAAGCAGGATCTCACAAAGTCTCCTCTGGCCACCAAGAAAGGGCCTCAGGACCATGTGACTCACCGCCCCATGGATGTGGAGAGGGGTGGCAGCTGATGTTACACAGCCCTTGGCAAGATAGCTAAGAGGGTTAAATTGGCACTTACTGACAACCAGCAGTTTGCCCTGATGCATGAGTACTGATGTGGGTGCATATGCACCTGCAGGTGAGGTGAGCATCTCCCCTACAAGAGGCCACTGAGAACACCCAAAAAAAGCATTATTTGACCAACCTGCAGACTCAGCTTGTGACCATAAAAAAAAAAATCCTTTTTTTCTCCCTCTTAAAAGGTGAAGGACTCCCACCCACCACTAAGAGAGAAGAGCAGCATCTCTGAGGAATTAAGCAGCCACATCCCTTTCTCCTCCCAGAGGTACCTAAATGAACTTTCTGGCATAGCCCCTTAGACAGCATCCTTTGACTGTGCTAGTTCAGCCCACCCTTCCTGCCATGCCCCTTCTGGACACAACCAGACACTAAATTCATTTTAGAGGGACATTTCTGGGAGAAGGCTTTGCAATCCCAAAGCCAGGATCTCCTCTTCTGCTTGCATAACACCATCTGTGTCAGCAGAGCAATTCCCTCACCTCTGGGAAGGGTGGCAAAAACATTGTACATGCAGAGAAGAGCAGGCAGGAGGCTTCAGTGGCTCCCCCCTACCTGTGAAAATTGCTGTAAAATATTTACAACCAAACCTTAGGAATCCACGTGGCTGGAAATGAGGGGTCTAAAAATAAACCAGCCAGGGAAAAAGGAGAGAGAGATACAGTCTTCTTTCAGAGGCAATTGCAGACAAAATTGAAGTGTAACTGCCTCCAAATATAGAACACAATTATGGGAGTCGCGGGCCATGTTGAACAAGAAACCACCCCAAGAAATCATGAAGCTGCCATGGCTCAGAGCCAGCAGTGTCTCAGCAGATGCAGAGCATCACAGATCCCTGCAAACCATGGAGCAGTAAAACATCCCCCTGCAAGGGACAGTGCTGGGTGAACCCACAGCTCCTTTCCGAGGGACTTTCAGAGAGCAGACTGCAATGGTGATGCCTGGTGTGAATCAGCTGCACTGAGCACACCCCAAAGTTCGGCCACACCGTCGCTTTGCACCCCGGAGCATGACAGCAGGAGGCTCAGGAGCTGCAGCCTTCTTGTAATGCAGCTGCTGCTGTGCCAGACCCAGGTGGACTTGTCCATAAGCAGAGCTCATGAGCTCACAGACACTGAGGAGAGCCAAGCAAGGAGATGGGGTGTCTTTGGGAACCCAAAGGCCTGTCACCTCCCTATCTGACTGGTTTGCCCAGTTATCCTCAGCCTCAGTGACCTCCCACATGTCCCTTCCTTGGGCTCAGGTGCTCTCTGCCCATTCCTGTCCATCTCACCATGCTCCAGGAGCTGCAGGAGGAGGTAAGTTCGGGGACCAAAGGCAATGGGGAGTGGCAGCCTGTCCCAAGAGAGACAAGATGGTGGAGAGCTGCATGGTACTGCTGCTTTCATCCAGCAAGGCTTGGGGCTGCATAGAAGTGGGTCATGATGCGTCCCAAGGTTACATGGCAAATGCCTCCCAAATCAGGACTTGACCCTACCACCTTTATCCCCAGTCATAGACTCCAGACCTTCTTTGCACATTGCTGTTGGGTCGCGTGGGCCCTGTGGCTGGAGGGTAGGATCCTCTAGCCTTTAGCTTGTGGGAAATCTCTGTTGAGCTACCTTTATTCAGGGTGAAATGCTGGTCTGGCTTGAGTCCCCACAGCATGCGCAATGGATGTTAGGGGTGGCCTGTGACACAGTCAGGTCAGCTCCAAGGCAGTGGGCATCCTGGGTGTGTTGGAACAGAAGGAGCCCAGGCTGTGGGTGTGCTTAGCCTCGCCTTCAGCACAGGCATCATTGTGAGGACTGGGGACTTCTCTCATGGCTCTGTGCCTTCCAGGGGTTCCACTCAGACCAGTGTGTGGCAGATCCATCTCATACTAGGTAAGTTCAGCTGGGACTTTGGGATACCCATTCATCTCAGTGAGCAGGAACAAGGGAGTAGGGTTCAAGCTGGACTGAGCCCAACACATGTGTTGGGCCCAACACATCTCCACTCTACTGCAAAAGTCACTGAAATTCAGTCACTGAATTCAGGTGCCAGCATGTGAAGCACGTGCCATGCATCTTGGCCTTTCTTGGCACAACAGAAAGCTTCCACAGATGGAAGGGAGGATCTCCCAGTCTGCAGGTGAAGGAATGGCAACCCACCCCCCGCCCCGACAGGAGACGTAGGTAGCATCTACTCACCTCAGTAAGCCACCACTCCTGAGACCTGCAGTGAAGGTCCAACGTCCATGTCAGGTAGAAAAATACCCACCACTGGGTCTTCGTGGCTATAAAGATGTTTATGGAATCAAAGCATCATTCATATGAGGAGAGGCTGCGAGAGCTGAGACTGTTCAGTCTGGAGAAGAGAAGGCTCAGGGGTACCATGTGTAGGGGGACCATGTGTAGGGATGGGAGGCAGTGAAGAAGAGGGACCTGGACTCTTCTCAGTAGTGCTCAGTGACAGGCCATGAGGCAATGGGCACAAATTAAAACATAGGAAATTCAGTCTGAACACAAGACGCTTCTTTTGCTTTGAGGGTAACCAAGCACTGACTTTGTTTCCCAAAGAAGTTGTGGAGTCACCATCCCTGGAGATACTCAAAACATGATTCTGCACAGCCTTGGGCAACTGGCTCTGGGTGAGCTGGTTGAGCAGGGGAGTTGGTCCAGATGACCTCTGGAAGTCTCTTCCAACCTCAACTGTGATTCTGTATATGGTACCTGTCACAGCTCCCCATATGGCCCCCAAACCTCTGAGATTAATGCATTCCACAGTTTGTTATTTCTTATTTTATTTATAATATAAAAAAATGTTCAAGTGTTAAACAGTCAAGAGTTCTGACATTCAGACAATCCAGAGCAAACTTTGACAATCATCTTATGACAAATTAGCAGTTTTCTATCTGACCCCATCATGGGTGAGGAATAGAGGGTTTAGTTACTTTATTGCTAAAAGTTAAATGAAATACACTGTCAATTGTTGTATTATCTTCTCAGTCACAGCTTCACCATGCATCCAATCTACAGTATCTGAAATGCAAAGGACATGCAGAAGTAAAAATATAAAAAGAAAAGTCAGGCTACAATGTAAACAGGTTTGCTGCAAAGAACTGAGGAGAGGGGGCACTTCCACAGGGGATGCTCTGCTGCCTGGACATGCAGGACTGTCTCTTTGCACCACAGATCCGATGGCCAGAGCTGCTCCGAGTTCAGAAACAGGATGTCCATCATGGATGGCAAGACGTGACAGTAACAACTGTCTTTACAATGCACAGCACGACAGCTCCGTCCTCTTGCTGGGCTGCCCCACGCAGGACCCTTCCCGGCTGATGCAGGGGCGACAAGCAGGGCCAAAAGTGTTCATGCCAAACCCTGGGGCAGCACGGCTGGCAGCTGCCTGGCATGGCATCCAGGCTGAGCCACAGCTGTACTGTGCCATAGGGCCACCCTCCGGATGCCCTGCCAGCACCGCCTGAACTGCGGCTGAGTACCACACGCAGGACGCCACAGCCCCGGCAGCCTACTGCACCACGGTATGCAGCACCGTAGCCATCGCTGCACTGCTCGATCAAGGGGATGCCGTGGCCAGCACGGCACCGGTATGGCAATGCAGCCACAGGACACCGCTGCGGAATGGAGACCATGCTGCTGACACCACTGTGCACTGCCATCTGCCTGCCCGGGCTGGCTCCAGTGAACTGGATTCAACCGTATGCAATGGGGTATTACTTCACCGTGTTCATACGGGTGTCTGCCTTGTTTGACTACGAACCTAGGCCAACCCGACTTCAGACCTACAGGTGAAATGGCCAAAGGCTGAGAGCTATATTGAAAGGGCTGCTGCTGCTGTGCCATTTCGTTTTCTCTTCCTACCTGTGTGGCAAAAGAAACATTATTTCTGCATTTCAGTACAGTGCTGTTGGGCTCCTTTTCCTCCTGATTTAAGTGAAATACAAGTACTTTACAGGGCAAGGCAGATCCCCATCAGACATGATAATGAAAATGCTCCCACTCATGTCCTTGATGTGTGTCTAAATGATACCTTAAAGAATAAGATCATTAATAGCATGGTAGGGGGCAAAGTGGCGAGGCTGTTTTCTTCCAACGGAAGAGTGCCCTTGTGACAGGTTGTCTCCCAAACAAAATCTATGATCTTAAAAATGCTACTGAAACAGCATCCTCGGCATGAATCCCAGCACTAGCATACAGCAAAAGGCACCACGATAGTTTTATTTTCTATTTTTAAGTAGTCAAAAATTGGCCCACTTTTTTTTTTAACTTTATTGTTTGTTTTCTTTTCTTTTTTTTTTTTTTTACTTTCTTTTTCTTGGAAGCTGTAAATCAAGACATTACATATAAATAGAGTTTCCCTATAAAAAAGTCATTGCTGTTAGCTATTATAAGACAACTTTGCTAAAATGAAAATAAAACATTTTATTTGTTATATTTTTTCCCTCTTTTATATAAAATAAAAATATTTATTTTTGTTTTGTTTCGTCTCGCCTCCCTCCTCGGCCTCCTCCATGCAGGTTACGTCTGTGGGTGCGCCAGTCTGGGAGGCGCCTAGAGGGGATCCGGGTCCGGATTGGGCGTCGTGTGTGCCAGGCTGGTGCGCCCGCTCTCCCCATGAGCGCTGTGTCTGCTGCAGGGGGAGTGCGTCCGGCTG